ACTGAAATTTCTCAACTGTGAGACTAATAAAGGTTTATCTTATCTTATCTTATCTTATCTTACTTTGGTTTTACATTTTGAGAAGTTACTTTAGTAAAGTATAATGGGTACGGTTAAATATACTTCTTTCAACTTAAAGGTGTCAATAATGTAATCAAACTGTTTACCTGGCTAAAAAAAGAAAAGACAAATATTGCTTTGTTGCAAGAAACCCACCTTACTGACAAGGAACACGATAAGTTAAAGCGAGATTGGGTTGGGCAGATCTTTTACTCTTCATTCTCCTCTAGTAAGAGAGGAGTGGCTATTCTTATTAATAAAAATACCCCGTTTACTTTAGATAAATGCACAAAAGACAATCAGGGTAGATATGTGCTAATAACAGGTTATTTGTATGGTGAACACATTTTTATAGGCTGTGTTTATGCTCCCAATGTCTATGAGAAAGACTTTTATTCTAAACTTTTGGCAGATGCTTCTAATATGACACAAACCTTTAGTATTTTAGCAGGAGACTTCAACTGCCCGATGGCACCAGAGGACCAGTTCCCCTCAGCTAAACCAACTAGCTCCAAAATGAGGGAAGCAACCAAACAGCTTTGTGCTGACCTCCAGCTGCTGGATACATGGAGAGTTATTAACCCTACAGAAGGAGATTATAGTTTCTATTCTAACCCTCATCGCAGTCACTCCAGAATTGACTATTTTTTTCTCTACCAGAATGGTGCTTGACAGAAGTGAGGAGTGTAAAATAGGAGCACGCTTACTCTCCGCTTACGCTTGCTCCCCCTTCTCCTCAACTAACATCTAAACACATCATTGTTGCAACAACCAGATTTTGTAACACATTTAACTAAACAGATAAAAGAATTTCTTGCTTCTAATAATAATGAAGATCTGCCTAGGGGTACTTTCTCCCGCGATTCGATTATCGATATGCATTTGCTAAGTATCAATATCGATTTTGAAAATATTTTTTTTTTTTTGAATTGGTATCAATACTTAATATATGGCTACATTACGCATCTCCATTCTATTTATCATGAAATAAAGAGTATTTTTTCTTTTATTTATGCCGTAAATTGGCATATTGTATATTTCTGACCAATATATCAATAATCGTCATATTGTGATAAAATCTTTATCGTAATATTGTTATCGTGATATTATCGTTATCGTGAGCTTTGTATCGTATCGTATCGCGAGGTACCCTTAGGTTCCCACCCCTACTAATGCCTCAATGTTATGGGATACATTGAAAGCATATGTCAGGGGTGTTATAATTTCTTATAGCTCTGCTAGAAAGAGGGAAGTGTTGAAAGTCCAACTTGTGTTAGAATCACAGCTCAAGGCACTTGATCAATGAATGAAAAGAAATCCATCTCCCTGTCTGTCTGAAGAGCTGGATTTAACTCGTTCAGCCCTCAACCAACTTTTATCCCAAAAAGCTGAAGCAAGTTTACTATATGCAAGACACAGATTATTTGAAATGGGAGACAAACCAGGCCGTCTATTAGCTCGCTTAGCAGCTGGTAGATGGGAAATACAGTCAATTTCTACTCTCCAAGATATAAATGGTAAAAATCACTATGATTCTAAAAAACTGATTGAAATCATGAAATCATTCTACACAAAATGATATACCTCAGAATTAAAAGTTCTGACAGTCAAATTGAAGAATTTCTGAATGGCCTTAACCTCCCTATTCTCTCAGAAGAACATAGACTGACTCTTGAGGATCAAATTACTAAAGAAGAAATTACTTGTGCCATAAAATCACTACCTAACTCAAAGGCGCCGGGGCCAGATGGATATGGCACTGAGTTTTACAAAACTTTCCATGATTTAGTTAACCCTCTCTTGTTGAACATGTATGTGCACTTTTTGTAACAGGGCTCCTTGCCTCCATCTTTATATTCAGCTAATACTTCTGTATTATTAAAGAAAGATAAACCTAGTGATAAATGTAGTTCATATAGGCCTGTGAGTTTAATAAATGTGTACTGTAAAGTTCTGTCTAAAATATTGACCAAGAGGTTATTAATCAACAAAGATCAGACGGGTTTTATAAAACACCCGTTGGGGTATTGGATTATTATTTTAATCCAATATACAAAACATAAAAGTAAAAAATAAATTATTGTCTCTCTTGACGCGGAGAAGGCATTCGACCGGGTCGAGTGGCCTTATCTTTTCATGGTCATGCAAAAATTTGGATTGTGTGATAATTTTATAAATTTGGTCAAACTTTTACACAATGCACCAGTCCCTCAGAAATGGAAATAAAGGGATGAAAATGAAATGATGATGGTCAAACGTTTATACTTTTCCCCAATGGCTTGTGTATTGGTTAATGGAGTTAAATCTTCACCCTTTCAATTGGGCAGATCTACTCGTCAGGGTGATCCAATTTCACCATTCATTTTTGCTCTGGCAATAGAGCCTCTGGCTCAGGCTATTAGATGTAATGAAAATACTTCTGGTTTTGAGATGAATGGCAAAACATATAAAATTGCACTTTATGCAGATGTGCTTTTGTTCATTTCTGATCCAGAGAAATCCATTCCAGAGCTTATGACGACTATCGATTTATTTTCACCTTTATCTGGCTATAAAATAAACTTCGATAAAGCAATAGCACTCCCTCTTGGTTATGATGGTCTTCCCTCGTTACCTAATTTCCCATTTACATGGTCCATCTCAGGTTTTACATACTTGGGAATTTTTGTTTCCCCACGTATAGAAACTACCCTTAAAGTGAATCTTCAGAATGTGTGTAAAAATATCTAAAGTGACCTGCTCAGATGGAGGGATTTGCCAATATCATGGATGGGCAGAATCAACCTGTTAAAAATGAATGTAATCCCAAGACTTTTGTACCCATTACAAATGTTACCTGTTTATTTGTCTAAAACAAAAGCTAAAGAGATTGAGAGAGACTTGAGTAAATTTATTTGGAAGGATAAGAAATCTAGATTAAGGATGAGTGTTTTACAGTGTCCAAGAGACAGAGGAGGGTTTTCCTAACATTCTTTTATACAACTGGGCTTGTCAAGGCAGGGTCGTCCGGGAATGGTTTCAGTCTTATCTGAATGGACTCACAGACCCTTTGGAATCCTGGATGTCTACACCATACAATCTTCTGGGGGAAATGCTGGCCAAGAAGATTCAGCCAGAGATGCGGACCAATCCAATTTTGATAAATTATCTGAAAACCTGGAAGGACATGTCTGCTTATTTGGGACATAAGAGCAACGTATCTCCAGTTTTGCCTGTTGTGGACAGTAGGTTGTACCCCCCTGGTGTTAAAAGTGTTTACAGATTGGTATAAAAAGGGAATTCGTGTGATCAAAGATCTTTATGATGAAATCTTATGTCTTTTGCTCAGGTACAGGGTCATTTTAACCTTTCCAAGAACACTTTATCAATACAAATTGCAAATGCCCTTGTTGAATCCAATTGAGTTATTTATGATTACATGTAAACCGTCAAAAGGTTTTATTTCACGTTGTTACAGTATGTTACAAAGCACTATGAAAGATGGAATAGAGAAAATTGTTTTGAGGAAGATCTTCAGTGCACATTTACTGAAGATGAGCGGCAAAAATCCATAAACAATATTTAAGCCGTTTTTCTTAGTAATAAGTACAGAGAAATGCATTTTAAAATGTTCCACAGGCAGCATAGAACTCCTTATGTTCTTAACAAAACGGATCCTAATAGATCTTCAGCTTGTCTTAAGTGTTTACAGTCACCCGCTACCTTTATGCATTGCTTTTGGAATTGTCCCAAAATAGGCACATTTTGGTCTAACATTACTAAAAAAATTGGCACGATTTACCAACTAAAAATAGATACCCTCATTTTGAATTATTTAAAAAGTTCCTTTCCTTGGCTAAAAAATGTATTCTAAATAATTGGATCAAAGACAAACCTCCTACAGTTACAGAGTGGTATCGAGACATTTTGTATGTGCTTCCTATGGAAAGAATTAGTGGTAAACTGAAGGGCAGCCTCTTTTAAATCATTTGCTTTCTCATCTGAAGCTTACTATTATGAGAGGTTCGGGTACTTTGAGCTAAATTTTACTTTTTTTTTCAATTTTATTTGATGTGGACACTGGTTGAAAAGTGTGAAAAACCTGCTCACATTTGAACAACATTATGTCTTTAATAAATTGCTGGTTCAAACTAGAGGTTATCTGGACATCAGCACACACGGACATTACAGACTGCACTGTCCGGGTCTCTCGCTAGATGTAAAGCAAAATGACAATGAATGAAGGTCCTTACAGCGTCATGGATCGGTCAAGTCACAGGATGTCATAAATACACATGTCATTCAATAATCTTGTAGACCAGTCCCGAGTCTGGGCCTGAGGGTCTCTCTACAGGCTGTTATTGTCCTTCTAGGCGTCCACAGTCCCATTGACCCCAGAGAACGGTGAAGTTAGCAGTCTCCAACGTCACATTGGCCTCATGACTTAGATAAGTCATTGAGTGCTGAAATGGTCCCAAACACATTCTATATGAAAACCCATACATTTATTAATATGCTAATAAACATTTCTTGACAAAAAGTATTTTATTTCTGTGATATTTTTATTTTTTTAAGGATTCAATACATGCCAGTGTAACCTATTGCAACGACTTATAATTGTGTATTTTGTTTTGATTTGTGGTGGTCTGCTCAGTGGTGTTGTCAATGTCTGTCTGTTTTATAATGTTAAAGGCAAATATATTATTATAAGTTATTATTTCAATCAGATTTGGAAGTCTGTAGAGAGTGGATCTGAGTTTTTTATCTTTTTTTTTCTTACTTTAGCATAATGAAGAAGCAAGTCTAAAATACTGTGAAAGAATTATATAGTTGTTTATATCTGTACATATTATTGATCATTTGTTGCAATATATAAATTTATTTGATCTTTGACTCTTTAGTAAATCCCTAAAACAAAACACAAAGTAATAAAGTGTTTGTCTCTCTCGGTGACGCTGCAGAACCAGCTTCTGGAAACAGACGGCCACAATCCACTGATGAAGAAAGTCTTTGACGTCTTCCTCACATTCCTCAGAATTGGCCAATCAGAGACGGCCGTCAGGCACGTGTTCGCCGCCCTCAGAGGACTCATCAACAAGGTATGACCTGGACTGACACACACACACGCTGACAAACACACACGCACACACAGACACACGCACACACACACATAACTTGTGCACAAACACACACAGAAACGCAAATAGACACAAACACACACACATAACTTGTGCACAAACACAAATACAGCCACTCGCACACACATAGCCTCACACACACAGCCACTCGCACACACATAGCTACACACACACACACATCTTATGGAATTTGATTAAAGATAGAAATTATGTTATGAACACAATGTCCCAGATCCCGGATCAGACCACAATCCTGCCCCATTTGTCACATGTCAGAAACTCACACTAACATTTACTCTTTTTAGTCCATGAAAACTGTATATAGATGGACAATCCTAACCTGGCTAGCTTATTTCAAAGGTCATGTTGAGTGTTTGAAAAAAAGGGTTCAAAAATATATATACAGCATATATATATTTTATGTATGTACGTATGTATATGTACACACACGACACATGTACAGATTCTGATGATAAATATAAGATATAATATGAGGTAATAATTGTAGAGAGAAACAAGAGAGAGGGACCAGAGAGAGGGACCAGAGAGAGGGACCAGAGAGAGAGACCAGAGAGAGAGACCAGAGAGAGAGACCAGAGAGAGAGACCAGAGAGAGAGACCAAGACCAGAGAGAGAGACCAGAGAGAGACCAGAGCTATGGGAAGTCTGTGGTAATTAAAATGGGACAAAACCATTTTGTATTATTTCTTTGATACAGTCATGTCTTTCTTCCTGTGGCTCAGTTCCCGTCGGTGCTGTTCAAAGGCCGTGTGACCCTGTGTGAAGCCCTGTGCTGCGAGGTCCTCAAGTGCTGCGTGTCCAAACTGGGCCTGCTCCGAGCCGAGTCGTCCGCCCTGCTCTACCTGCTGATGAAGAACAACTACGAGTTCACCAAGAGGAAGACCTTTCTGCGCACGCACCTGCAGGTGGGACTGCCCCGAGGCCAGAGACTGATGATTTAAGATGACATTCTTCTTCTGCCGTTGCTTTAATCACTCACTCTGTCAATCATTATTACTGGAACTTCTGCTTTTGAAAGATTGTTTGGGTGTTACAACAAGCTGTATCTGGATTTTACTGTAGAGTGGAGTATACAGTAGTAAGCATAACATTATAGATGTAAGAATGATGGATGGGTGGGGAGATAGATAGGTAGGTAGATAGATGGGTAGGTAGGTAGGTAGGTAGATGGGTTGGTAGGGAGATACGGTAGGTAGGTAGGTAGAAAGATAGGTACTGTAGGTAGGTAGGTAGATGGGTAGGGAGATAAATGGGTAGGTAGGTAGGTAGATGGGTAGGGAGATAAATGGGTAGGTAGGTAGGTAGATGGGTAGGGAGATAAATGGGTAGGTAGGTAGGTAGATGGGTAGGGAGATAGATGGACCTACCTACCTATAGGTACCTATAGGTACCTATAGGTAGGTAGGTAGATAAATTGGTAGGTAAGTGGACTCACTCCTTCACTGTATCCAATAGATCAGTGAGTGGATGCAAAACAACTTCCTTCAGCTAAACGCAGACAAAACTGAAATGATTGTCTTTGGTCCCCAGAAACAAAGAGAGAGCGTCATCTGTCACCTACAGTCTCTCTCCCTAAAACCTTCAAACAAGGTCAGAAATCTAGGGGTAATACTGGACTCAGACTTAAATTTTAATAGCCACATCAAATCAGTAACATCAGCAGCTTTTTACCATCTAAAAAACATTGCCAGGATCAAAAACATAGTGTCTAAAGCAGACCTGGAGATTCTTATCCATGCATTTGTCTCCAGTAGGTTAGACTACTGCAATGGCCTGCTCACAGGTCTGTCCAAACAGGCTGTAAAACAGCTACAGTTTTAATGTTCTGTGATTATGATTTTAATGCTTTCTTGTTTTGTTCATCACTTTGAATTGCCTTGTGTATGAATTGTGCTATATAAATAAACTTGCCTTGCCTTGCCTTAGATGGATAGGTGTCTTTCTGCTCTCTCTCTTTACTCTCTCTCTGATCTCTGTGGATGAATGAAAACACTTTCTCCTATATATCTGAAGCTGTAGTATCCCCTTAACCTCCTCTTCTTCCCCTTCCTCTCCTTCTTCTTCTTCTCAGATCATCATTGCGGTGAGTCAGCTGATCTCAGACGTGGCTCTCACCGGCAGCTCGCGCTTCCAGGAGTCTCTCTCCATCATCAACAACTTTGCAAATAGTGACAAAGCCATGAAGGTACGAAACAGTTAATGCTGATTTCACACTAGAGTCGAACCTGAATTTGGTTTCCCAGTCCAAGAAGATAAAGTCCTGACGGAGAGAGAGCAAATCTAAACTCCGAACAAACTGTAACTTCCTTTTGGTAGATAGACTCACCTTCATCATATTGAGAGTGAGGAGTTGTCGTCATAGCACAGAGCCCCTCCCCGTCTCCGCCATGTTGGTAGGAACCCAGCGGCAAACAGTTGTTGTTAACTCGGTAGCAAAGGAGGTCATCGCTATTTCTGTTTTACCATGCCTGGAGCTCATTGCTGTGTGAAAAACTGCTCCAGTACCTCACACAATAAGAAAGGAAAACGTAGGAACAACGGTTTACAATTGTTTAGGCCACCAAAATGGATACAACATCAGGGAGCGCAAGTGTCTGACCTGACGAAGAGACGCCGGATGGCTTGGTTGGCTGCAATAAGAAGAAAGGACCTTACTTTCGATCTCACCCCCCAGTCGATGAGAGTGTGTTCTCTGCATTTTCACTCGGGTACGTCCTAAAATGTCTTTATGTTGTTTTTTTAAAGTTAAGAAGTGTAGGTTACCTAGCTGTTAATGTTGCAAACACTGAAGTGCATCTTAAGTTAGCTGCCTAGCTAACTATCTAACAAACTGTTGCCTCTATGAAAATGCTTAATGGCCAACCATTAATGTTAACTAAGAATATTTAAGTTTCTGCTCATTATCCTACCTTGTTGGTGGAATATGGGCACTCAAAGTGCGTTTGTCTCTGTCTCTTATGTTCTCTAAACCAGTGGTGCCCAAACTTTTTTTTTGTCTTGTGTTGCCACTACCCCCTGAGCCCTTTTATGAAACCATGAATAGCGTTACCTTCTTGTTTAATATTTCTTTAGATTCCAGATTGTTAAATAATCTTATTAATCTGATGTAAGTAAACCATTATATGAGATTGCTAAAAATAGTTGAGATTCTGTTCATGACATTATGCTACCTTGTTGCCAGTTTAAAGCATTGACTACATAGATTATTCTGTTCTAGGTAAACCATCATATGAGATGTTGGAGAATCACCCTGACTGGACACCATCCTTGCGGTTAGGCCACAAACAGATGGAGCGCGATATCAGCGGCAAGTAAAGCGCAGGACCCAGCATCTGGAGCAGTCATCACTCCCAGCCCAAGCCCAGCAGCCTTCATCGCCAGCCCAAGCCCAGCAGCCTCCATCGCCAGCCCAAGCCCAGCAGCCTCCATCGCCAGCCCAAGCCCAGCAGCCTCCATCGCCAGCCCAAGCCCAGCAGCCTCCATCGCCAGCCCAAGCCCAGCAGCCCCCATCGCCGGCCCAGCAGCTGCCTCAAGAAAGGATGAGGAAGCTCTCACCCTTCCAGCTTGTCCTATTGACTGTAATGCGCCTCAGATTAGACCTTCCATCTCAGAATTCACGTTGAGAGGGTGATTGGTGTTGTGCGCAACAAATTCAAATTCTTACATTCAACTGTACCTGTGCATATGCTTCTCAAATGTGAGGGTGAAAACCTAATGCCTTTAGATAAGATTGTCACTGTTTGCTGTGCCTTAACGAACATGTGCAAAAGTGTTGTTTGAGTGCCTTGTTCATAACTTATGAACCAACCAGAACCCCTCATGTCATCTGGATCCGAGTCCAGAGTCAGAACCAGACACGGAGAAGCTGCATTCAGCTTCTATGCTCCACATGTCTGGAACAAACTCCCAGAAAGCCTCAGATCAGCTGAAACACTCAGTTTGTTTACATCCAGGTTAAAGACCCACCTGTTCTCAGCTGCTTTTGAATATTTTTTATTCTAATGTACAAATCTGCACGGCTTCTTTTAAGCTGGAATTACTTATCTGTTATCTTTTTCTTATGAATTTTTGTTTTTAATTTTAAATCATGCTTTTTATTCTGTTACTTTTTAATGCTTCTGCACCCAGCTGTAATGCTTCTTAATTTTTAATTTAAAGTACTTTGAATTGTTTTGTAACATGAATTGTGCTGTACAAATAAACTTGCCTTGCCTTTTTAATTTCTTTGAAATAAATGTTTGAAACAACTTCATGTGGCAAAGCAATATTTATTGAGAAATTAAAATTTTTTTGGAGGGGGGGTGTAATCTCTTGGAAAAGTTAACAGTGCAAAAGAACGTGTGCAGTCAACGTATAAATATTTCAGCATGAAAAGACGGACAACATAATAAAATAGTAACACTGCTGATAGTGCAAAAGAACCAAACATACCAACAAAAAAACACTATTTGGCTCAGGAAAAGAACGTGTGCATTAAAAGTATAAATATTTCCAGCATGTAAACATAAACAACATAAGTAATAATAATACTGTTATTAGTGCAAAAGAACAAACAACATCCAAACAATAAAAAAATGGGGGTTTTTTTTGTATGTTTTTTGTTCTTTTGCACTAAACATAGTATTTCATTATTATGTTGTTTATGTTTACATGCTGGAAATATTTATACTTTGAATGCACACGTTCTTTTCTTAAGCCGAATAGTGCCACTATTCGGCTTAAGAAAAGAACGTGTGCTGTCAACGTATAAATATTTCAGCATGAAAAGATGGACAACATAATAAAATAGTAATACTGCTGTTAGTGCAAGTACAACAGTGTTTTCACCGCCTGGAGGCTTGTAGATGGCCAAGTCCTGCACCCAACCACAGCAGAAAGCCTCGTAACTCTCCAGTGACTTGTGACTTCTAAACTCCTGCATTGTATAATAACTAACACTGAAAACAAGGTAATTCACTATATCCATGTACGTGCACGGAGGCAAAAAGTCAAGGTATTTTTGCCACTCCGCTGCAGGAAGCTCGTATGGGTCTAGCTTACCTGTTGTATGTCTGAGAGCTTCTCCAAATAACGTTGTTTTGCTTTTCCCTGTACGGTCCATTTCCTTTCGCCTTCACTTTCTCCATTAACTGTCTTGCTAGTGTTGTAATCGTAGATGTATCTACTGCCGAAATAATAAACGCGCTCAAGTTAAAGACTTCTGGAGCGTTAGCATAGACTGTATATATTGAGCGTTAGTGGCGTTGCCCCGGGCAACCGATAGAGGATCCTATCAACATGGCCGACCGGATTAGACCCCGCCCAAATTATCACGTGACTCCTCATTCTCAATAGGAATGGAAGAACCAACAGAACAATGAGACAATTAACATGTAAAGTACCCCTCCTGTTTAGATGTAAATAGCACAAAACCCATGGTTCCCCCTGGCAAAATGCATTAGCACAAAACCCCCTTCGTCGTCCAGACCAGTGTGGGCGGGTTCCGGCTCAAAAATGTCCAAAATGACGTGCGCTGACATGCTGCAGTACCACCCCGGGCCTGTGGGGGTGGACCTGGAACAAGAATTAGCCAATGCTAATGTAGAGCATCTTCTAATTCTTCTAAAACCTCTTTACAGGATGTTCCAAAAGTGCCTCTTTGTCCAAAAGTAGCTCTTCGTCCAAAAGTGGCTCTTGATCCAAAGCTCCGTTTGCAGATGCTGTCAATGTTTAAGAGAGTGTATGTTTTTGGACCAGTCTGGTTTAGTCGCTGCGGACTTCAGAATGCACTCGTTAAATGAATGGGGCTAATGCAGCTGCTGCTAAATGTGTTTTTTTCACATTTCCCAGCCCCCGCGGCCATTTTGAAACTGCCCATAGCGACAAAAGTGATGTCACATTAGTTTGAACGGCGGAGATAGGAGTGACTGCGCTCGTTAATATTTACATTCTAAGGTTCAGACATTCAGGCGGCAAAAGAGAATTTAAATGCAACCACCATTTTAGCCACTTGTGTTCTCTGTGACTCGCAGTCCACCGCGTTCCCGTCGGAGGTGAAGGGTCTGACCAAACGGATCCGCACGGTGCTGATGGCCACGGCGCAGATGAAGGAGCACGAGAAGGACCCAGAGATGCTGCTGGACCTGCAGTACAGCCTGGCCCGCTCCTACGCCAGCACCCCCGAGCTGCGCCGGACCTGGCTGGACAGCATGGCCCGGGCCCACCTCAAGAACGGAGACCTGTCTGAGGTCCGGACTCACATTTACACTGCAAAATAATATGAAGTATGAGTTAAAGGTGCCATACTTGTCTGAGGTCAGGACTCATGTTGATTTCAGTTAAAACTATTACTTACACTTCAAAAAATGATGAAATATGAGTTAATTTAGGCTTAAATCAAGTAGTCTTGTCTTAGTTTGAGTTCATTCTGATAAATATCTATCAGTATCTTTTCTTCAAATAAATTTGTAATGAGAATATTTACTATTTTTTATTATTTTTTTTCATTTTCAGTGTCATCTTCATTAGTTCACACCTTTTTTCCATAATACATGCAGCATAAACAAGACACATTTCATTTTAGTTTTTCATTTTTTCCCACTATGCTCCCCTTAAAGATAAATATGATTGAATACAGGCGTAGTAGTTTTGTCTTGAGTTTTTTCTGATTTAAAACTAGATCATTTTCATCAAACTGGAACATTCGTTTTATTATTACAACACTTGGATTTCATTCTGTCCCGGATTTATTTCTTGATTTTTCTTTAATAGTTTTTTAAAATGTGTTTATTATTATTACTGTACTTTCCCGGAGGTCCCTTTTTCTTTTTCATTAACTTAATGTTTATGGCGCTCTAATGGCATTTTTTTCTTCTTCTTTTTTTTTTATTACAGAAGAAATGTACAAAGAACGTATCTTTGTATATTCTGTATGGTATGTAAATTGTGTACCTTGTCTTTAAAAAACCAATAGACAAAGTTGTGAAAAAACTAGATAATTTAGCTTATGGCAAAGCTTGTTTAAGGCAGTCAAAATGTGCTTAAATAAACTTTTTTTTAATTATTATATTTTTATTGCATTTTAAGAATACATTTTCCCCCCAGTCCCTCCCACAATATCCCCAAGAGGAGAGATAGCTTATGACACACAATACATTAATAACAAAGAAAAAGAGGGAGAAAAAAATAATGATAATAAAACTAAATTAAAATTATAGTAGATTTTCAGATTTTATGTACTTATTTTTCATCACTTTTTGTAGTGTGTAAATGAGTCTTTGATGTTTTTGAAAAATAATCTAATTTTCTGATTTTCACTTGTCATATTTAGGATTTGGGTCATTTGTGTGTGTTTCTTTTGTGTGTATTTCATGCTGTTTTATTTGAACTTTTCTTTTGTTTAGTTTTTTCTTTGTGAAGAACCATGTCAATGTTATTTGTTTAGCGCATTAACAACAACATGTGCTGTTGTTGTTAATGCGCTAAACAAATAACATTGACATGGAGTTAATTGTTTATTCTGCACAGGCCGCTATGTGCTACGTCCACATCGCTGCGCTGGTGGCAGAATACCTCCACAGGAAAAGTAAGAACATTGTTTTTATTAAACACTGTGATAAAAAATATGTTATCATCTTTTTGTTTATTTTTTTCGTTTTAATGTTTTTTATATACATTTTTCCATGTTATTTTTTATTATTTTTCATTAATTTTTATATATATATATTTTTTATATTTTTTATTCTTTTTTTTTATTAATTTTTTTATTTTCTATTTTTTAACCTTAACCTTTTTTTTCCATGTTTTAATTATTTATTTTAAAAAAAATATATATATCTTTATCATCTATTTTCATTTTATTTTTTAAATCAATGTTCCTATGTTGTTTTGAAACTTTTTTATTCTTTTTTTATTTTATTTTAATCTATTTTATTCATTATTTTCATTAAGTGTTTTTGTTTGTGCATTATCATTTTTTTCCTTGTTATGTTTTGGAATTCTAAAGACAAAGAAAAAAATTGAATTCCTCGAACAATGCAAATGATGCGTTCGAGGAAAATACCAAGAATTGTAGTAAATAAAACGCCCTCGGTGCAGATCAGACACGTGGTTTTCTAAAGATTAACTGTTGCTAAACTGTGCCAAACAAAGTCAGAAACATGAATCTGTTTTTACGACCGTGACCTGCTGAAGTCCTAAAGTAAACACTGCGCTGCGTTTACCGTTATCAAGGACCATTGTGATGCAAAACATTTTATTTTGTTTGTCTCCGGCGTCTGCAAACTACAGACTGTCTCACCCCATTTTGGTTCGATAATAATACATTTTTATAAAGCAGGTTTTTAGACATTCTTCACTCACTCCAGACATAGTGGGATCTGTTATTTAAGATCATAAAATAGTAAAGATAATAAACTGCACTTCAGATATAAGTGCAATAAAATGAGCTGGGAATTGTTTGCTAACAGTTAAGGATCATCCATTTTCGCCTTTTTCTTCTCAAATTATGAAACCCAAATGGAATTTTTTATTGTGTGGACATCTTGTGTCTGATGTTGTGTTATGATATATTTGACTATATGGACACTAGTTAATACTGATGCTCTTAAATGAAACATTTCTGAATCCTCCCTGTACAGGGAGGGTGATCCTTAACGGCTAGAATGTGTTTGATTCAATCCGTCTGTTTGGTCACACCGGGAAGAGAGGAACATAGTGACTCAGCAGACCCCAAAATGTGAGATACATACATACATGAGTAAATTAAACACACACACACACACACACACACAGATTCAGATTCATTTTATTAGCCATGTGCAGTATAAAAACTACATTGGAATACATTTGCAAACAAAGGTACTCTGTGTGCACCGACAGAATAAAAAGCACGATACAATGTAATATAAAAGAATAAAAAAAACAGCTGACACTGTGGCACCGATCAACAAAACGATACAAGGGGTAAAAGCAGGAATTAAAGTGCTCTGTTTAGGCACCTAACAGCCTGTGGAAAGAAGCTGTTAGCATAGCGAGATGTCTTGCATCTCAGCGACCGATATCTTCTGCCAGAGGGAAGAAGCTGGAACATGGCTTTCCCAGGGTGGCCAGAAGAGTCATTGATGATTTTAAGAGCTTTGTTTAAAAGTCTGGATTTATAAAGAACCTCCAGAACAGGAAGCTCACAGCCCACAGTCCTCTTTCAGAGCGGGGCACCTTGTTTAGAGCTCTCTTTTCTTTATCTGTGATGTTTTCAAACCACACAGACACAGAACCAACAAGTAAACTCTCAATGGTGCAGCGATAAAAGTTAAGCAAAATCTTAGAGTTAGTGGTAAATTCTCTAAGTTTCCGCAAAAAGAAGAGCCGCTGACGTACTTTCTTAACAACCCGGTTAGTATTTTTGTCCCATTTCAGGTCGTTAGACAGAGTTAAACCCAGTCACTTGCACTCCTCTACGATCTGCACCTGGGAGTTGTCAATAACAACAGGAGTGTGAGAACTGCTACGACTGAAGTCAAAGACAAGTTCACATGTTTTCGATGCGTTCAGCTGGAGATTGTTTACTTTACTCCACTGAAAAACATGTTCGATCTCTGCTCTGTAAGAGGAATCATCATTGTTACTGATGAGACCGATGATGGTGGTGTCATCAGCATATTTGATGATCAAGTTTGAGTCAGAGGAGGACACACAATCGTGAGTGTACAAAGTAAAGAGCAGAGGACTCAAAATACATCCCTGAGGAGAACCAGTGCTCACAGAAAAAACATCAGAAAAACAGTCATTGATTTTTACTCTCTGAGATCTGTCAGTTAAAAAGCTAAAAATCCATTTACACATGGCAACATTCAGACCAAGGGACATTAGTTTTTCAACCAATATGCTTGGGACAAGACAATTAAAAGCAGAGCTATAATCAATGAACAGCATTCTCGCGACAGATTTACTAGTGTCCAAATGACTGTAGACAGAGTTCAGGGCGAAGGAGATGGCATCCTCCACACTCCTGTTCTGTCTGTAAGCAAACTGGAGCGGGTCAACGCTCACAGGGATCTGGCTCTTAATAAACTCCAGCACGAGCCGCTCAAAAGTTTTCATAAGAACAGACGTGAGAGCCACAGGGCGGTAGTCATTGAGACATGTCACTGGAGACTTCTTAGGAACTGGAATAATGGTGGACCTTTTAAAGCTCACCGGCACCGTACAGCTCCTGAGCGACAAGTTAAAGATGTTCGTTAAAACAGGGGCAAGTTGCTCGGAGCACAGTTTCAGGACGCGGGGAGGAATGCAGTCCGGGCCTGCGGCTTTCCGAGCTGTGGTCCTGGACAAGACCCGCCGTACTTCATCCTGAGTCACTGTGAAGGCACCCTGACATTCGGGGAAGACAAAAGGCAGGGGATCAGCAGATTCAAAGCGGCAGTAAAAGTCGTTGAGCTCGTTTGGCAGAGTTTGGCCAGCAGCAATTTTCCCTGCACTTGGTTTCCAGGACGTGATAAGACTGATCCCCTTCCACATGCGTCGAGGGTCCTCTTCCCCAAAGAAGCCCTCTAACCTGTCCCCATAGGAGCGCTTAGCAGCTTTTATAGAGCGTTCCACAGCGTAGCAGGACAGCTTGTAAGCACCCTCATCACCGGATTGAAACGCCAGTGTCCGCTCATTAATTCTCAATTTGACATCAGTGTTCATCCAAGGTTTTTGGCCGGAGTGTTCTTTGATAACTTTATAGGGGACACAACAGTCAATGCAAAACTGTATGTATCCTGTCACAGCCTCACAGAATTCATCAACATTCTCAGAGTTAAAAACAGACCAGTCTGTGGCATCAAAGCAGCCCTGCAGCTTCATGTTAGCCTCCTCAGACCAGCACTGCACAGTGCGGGAAGTAGGTTTGTGCTGTTTGTTCCTCTGTGTATAAGAAGGAAGAAGGAGAACAGCAGAGTGGTCAGACTTTCCAAAAGCAGGTCTGAACACACACACATACGCGCAATCACACGCACGCACACACATACACACACAAACATACATACATACGTATAAACACACACACACATATACATACATACATACGTGTACACACACACACACACACACATACATACGTATAAACACACACACACATATACATACATACGTATAAACACACGTACACATACATACATACGTACACACGCACATACATACACACACACACATATGCATGCATACGTACACACACATATACATACACGCAAGCACGTGCCCACACACGCAAAAAAATACACGTATTATCTGCATCACTATATAAGCCGCAGGGTACAAAGAACTAGAAAAAAGTACAGTCTATATTATATAAAGTATATATTCTAAAGATCATGTTTAAAATAAGACAAATGCAGCGGAATTTACTGTTACTTTAAACATATATTTGTTCTCGTGTTGTTTGTTTGCCAGAGCTGTTCCCGACTGGACTGGCCGCCTTTAAGAAGATCACCTTTAATATTGATGAGGAAGCGGCCATGAGAGAAGACACGGGAATGCAAGACGTCTATTATTCTGAAGTAGGCTTTGAGTGTTTTCAGGTTGTAAAGAGAATAAATACTACTGCAATATATACATGTGAATATATACACGGACTCTACTGTGATATATACATGTGAATATATACACGGACTCTACTGTGATATATACATGTGAATATATACACGGACTCTACTGTGATATATACATGTGAATATATACACGGACTCTACTGTGATATATACATGTGACTATATACACGGACTCTACTGTGATATATACATGTGAATATATACACGGACTCTACTGTGATATATACATGTGAATATATACACGGACTCTACTGTGATATATACATGTGAATATATACACGGACTCTACTGTGATATATACATGTGAATATATACACGGACTCTACTGTGATATATACATGTGAATATATACACGGACTCTACTGTGATATATACATGTGAATATATACACGGACTCTACTGTGATATATACATGTGAATATATACACGGACTCTACTGTGATATATACATGTGACTATATACACGGACTCTACTGTGATATATACATGTGAATATATACACGGACTCTACTGTGATATATACATGTGAATATATACACGGACTCTACTGTGATATATACATGTGAATATATACACGGACTCTACTGTGATATATACATGTGACTATATACACGGACTCTACTGTGATATATACATGTGAATATATACACGGACTCTACTGTGATATATACATGTGAATATATACACGGACTCTACTGTGATATATATACTCTACTATGATCCAAGGCTAAGACCATGTTCCTGTTTCAGGAGGTCCTGGTGGAACATCTGGAGGTCTGTGTCGAGGCCTTGTGGAAAGCAGAACGCTACGAGCTAATCACACACATCGCTAAACTCCTCATTCCTATTTATGAGAAACGGCACGACTACGAGGTATGACACACGCAACAAAGATCCAACCACGTGTCATGCATCTGTGCACTCATACATGAAATAATCTCAGAATTTACAAAATGAGACTTAATGTGTCCACTAGTCACTCTACTTAGTCACTTTTAGCATCAGTGGGGGAGGGTCCCAGCTCAAAAGTGGCCAAAATGACGTGCGCTGACATGCTTGCAATACCACCCCGGGCCGATGGGGGTGGACCCAGAAGAAGAATTAGCCAATGTAACATTTAGCATTGGCAGACCTCTCAAAAACGTCTTTACAGGATGGACCAAAAGTTGGCTCTTGGCCCAAAGCTCCGTTCCACATGTGTGTCAATGCTGAGGGGGGTGGATTTTTTTGGTCCACTCTAGTTTACTTGCAGTGAATTTCTGAAGTCTCTCTTTCAAATGAATGGAGCTGCGCCGGCTGACGCATGCGCAGATGCGTTTTTTCACAATTTTCTTGTGGGCGGGACCACTCGCGGCCATTTTGGATTGCTCCAGTAGAGAACATTTTTTGGCCCATTAGTTAGAACGGCGGAGATAGGCGTGACTCTGTCCATTAATATATACAGTCTATGCTTTTAGCCCATACCCTGGTGATGCTAACATGTACAGTAGTATCACATGAGGCTAACATGTACATTAGTATCACATGAGGCTAACATGTACAGTAGTACCATTTGATGCTAACATGTACATTAGTATCACATGAGGCTAACATGTACATTAGTATCACATGAGGCTAACATGTACATTAGTATCACATGAGGCTAACATGTACATTAGTATCATTTGATGCTAACATGTACAGTAGTATCATTTGATGCTAACATGTACAGTAGTATCATTTGATGCTAACATGTACAGTAGTATCATTTGATGCTAACATGTACATTAGTATCATTTGATGCTAACATGTACAGTAGTATCATTTGATGCTAACATGTACAGTAGTATCATTTGATGCTAACATGTACAGTAGTATCATTTGATGCTAACATGTACATTAGTATCATTTGATGCTAACATGTACAGTAGTATCATTTGATGCTAACATGTACAGTAGTATCACTTGATGCTAACATGTACAGTAGTATCACTTGATGCTAACATGTACAGTAGTATCACTTGATGCTAACATGTACAGTAATATCACATTTCCCACAATAATTGAAAAGTGCTTTGTGACTCTGGGCTGTGAAAGGGTTAGATTACTTAATTAGTTTCTTGTACTATTTGCTGTTTAACTTCTCCAGAAACTGAGCCGCTTGTATGACACGCTCCACCGGGCCTATAACAAGATCATGGAGGTGATCCAGTCCGGGCGCCGGCTCCTGGGGACCTACTTCAGAGTGGCCTTCTATGGACAGGTTGGTTTTGTTTGTTTGTTTTTCTGTATTTCCCTAGAGCTGCTGAAACATACAGTAGGTAAAGTTCATAAGATGCTTTCTTGGGTTTCAAAGTCTGGCTCTGTCTTACTCTTTCTCTTTGCTGTAGGGATTTTTCGAAGAGGAGGACGGCAAGGAGTACATTTACAAAGAACCAAAACTCACGGGTTTGTCGGAGATCTCCCAGAGGCTCTTGACACTGTACGGAGAGAAGTTTGGACCGGAGAATGTCAAAATCCTTCAAGACTCAAATAAGGTACTCACATAATGTATTTCATTTGGCTTAGGGTGTGTAAACTTTGTAGGGTTAGCATGAGACGTACTAATATGGTCAATTATCGTTACTGTGTATTTTCTTGTCACAGAGTTGATCCATCCACTATGACTTTTACGATCCACTTCTCTCCACTGTTCCTCTCTTGGGGATTTACTTTTACATAATCCATGCTTAGAAATTGCACCAATTATCTGCTGACTCACACAAACCATTTTTGTAGATCCCAGAGTCAAGAAAGAAGTCGGAAAACTTAAAGTCGGAAAAAATCTAAAGCTCTGTCTGTACCTTCTCAAAAAATAGATGTTAAATCTCAAGGGCTTAGCCTCCAAACAAATAAATACAGTGGGTACACTTCAGTTTGATGAATACACATACTCATATACACATCAAGGCATGCAGCAAACATTACTTCTGCGCCAGTAAACTAGCTTTGTCTTTAAACTAGCTTTGTCTGTAAATTAGCTTTGTCTGTAAACTAGCTTTGTCTTTAAACTAGCTTTGTCGATAAACTAGGATTGTCTGTAAATTAGCTTTGTCATAAACTAGCTTTGTCATAGACTAGCTTTTTCTGTAAAACGTGCATTAGCCCTGTTCAAATCAATAAAGAAATACATGAAATAAAAGTCCATTCTTACTAATTCCTACATTAACGTAGAACTTGTATCAATCTCAGGTGAACGCCAAAGAGCTGGACCCCAAGTTCGCGTACGTGCAGGTGACGTTTGTGAAGCCATTTTTTGAGGAGAAGGAGGCGCCAGAGAAGAAGACGGACTTTGAAAAATGTCACAACATCAATCGCTTTGTGTTCGAGACGCCGTACACGCTGACGGGAAAGAAGCACGGCGGCGTGGAAGAGCAGTGCAAGAAGAAGATCGTCCTGACAAGTATGTAGACCCAGGACTGAGGCTATAGGGCGGCACGGTGGCTGAGTGGATAGCACTCTCGCTTCTCAGCAAGAAGGTTCTGGGTTCGAATCCTGGTCGGAACAGGGCCTTTCTGAGTGGAGTTTACGTGTTCTTCTCGTGTCTGCGTAGGTTTCATCCGGGCACTCCGGTTTTCCCTACCACTAAAAACATGTGCAAAAGTTCAGGGTGAACACATTCTACCACAAAACAGTTTATTATGACTGAATAAAGAACGATGTGTCCACTTTTATAATCACTGAGACTTTATCAGTATCTAACTAATCTCTGGCCTGTGATGTCACACCTCAGCAGATATGAAGAGGGTGTTTTGTGTTTGTCCTCTCGCTTGGACGTTAGCCAATCCAGATAGACCGCGAGCTAAACTTGTGGCAGTTTACGATTTAAGACTAATCTTATGAAAAACAGTCTGAAAAAACATACTAATGTACCATCAGTGATGTCTAATAAGTGTTTTAATTTCCAGTGAAAATGGCGAATTGGCTTTTTTAACATGTACAAATAAATTAAATTTCATACTGCACAACAATAACCCACACCGTTAGCCTTAGAATTAGCTTTATATGGCTTATATCTGGATTTACAAAGGCAGTTTCAAGATAAGTACACCAGGATCAAACGGTTACTGGGATAGATTAGATTGTGTTTAGTTTTCAATGGTAAGTCAAAAGGAGCCAGAGTGAGTTGGAGCAAGAGGCTAAGGTGTTAGAATTGTCCACCTATACAGACTATTTTGAGGGTAGGAAAAAACTGGCAGGCCCAGTCCTGTAGATCCAGGACTGAGGCTGTAGAGTAGATCCAGAGACTGAGGCTGTAGATCCAGGACTGAGGCTGTAGACCCAGAGACTGAGGCTGTAGATCCAGGACTGAGGGTGTAGATCCAGGACTGAGGCTGTAGATCCAGGACTGAGGGTGTAGATCCAGGACTGAGGCTGTAGATCCAGGACTAAGACTGTAGACCCAGGACTGAGACTGTAGACCCAGGACAATTATAAAGGAATAAACAGTCTAGAATAACAAAAAATGATCAACTGCACAACATTAGCGACCCATCACAACAACCTATTGCTATAAACTCAGAACATTTCCCTTCTTTGTCCCTTTGTGAGCAGGCGCCAGCACGTTCCCGTACGTGAAGAAGCGAGTGGAGGTGTTGGGGGAGCGGCAGGTGGACCTCAAACCCGTGGACGTGGCCATCGACGAGATGAAAGCTCGCACCGCAGAACTAAACAAACTCTGCTCCAGTCCCGAAGTCGACATGATCCAACTCCAGCTCAAACTGCAGGGATGTGTGTCCGTCCAGGTAACTCCCTCTCACAGACTGTATGCTAGGAGTGTGACATCACCACAGTGTTAGCCGCAATACATGCATCAAGAGTTCTGAGCTTCCGGTTCGATCGCACGCCATCTATCTACGTATCTACCTCTGTATTCATCTATCTATCTATCTACCTCTGTATTCATCTATCCATCTATCTAACTATCTATGTATGTATCTATCTATGTGTCTATCTGTCTGTGTATTTATTTATCTATCTATGTATGTATCTATATCTATCTGTAACTTCTGATTGGTCTATAACCCCCCGTGTCTTTAACCTCCCGTGTCCAGGTAAACGCCGGCCCCATGGCGTACGCTCGGGCCTTCCTGGACGACAGCAGATCCAGTCACACCAACAGCAAGAAGTCCAAAGAGCTCAAGGACATTTTCCGGTGACCCACTTTCTCACACTGTCTATATCATTTCAGTATCGATAAATCACAAACCAATACGACCATTATCATCTTTGTGTGTTTTTCTGTGTCCTCAGGCAGTTTGTCCAGGCCTGCAGCATCGCTCTGGACATCAACGAACGTCTGATCAAAGAGGATCAGGTCGAGTATCACGAAGGCCTCAAGTCCAACTTCAAAGATATGGTCAAAGAGCTGTCGGAGATAATCCACGAGCAGGTAATTGAGCAGAGGGACTAGGATTACCATCCGGAGTCTGAGATTATAACCCTTAATCCAACTCACTGATGTTATTACTAACTTTCAGCATGGATGGTAATGGGCTACGAGGCATGTCATACTTTTTTTAGCCTATTCTCTCTTATGTATTCATTACTTTTGAAACCAACACATAATTAGGACTTGAATAGCTAACCCTATGAACCCGTCTGCATCGGCGCCGATCCATGCGCACATGTTTTACAGATGATCAATTTACTCGCGATTTACTACTAATTAGCAACTTACTTTTTTTCCCTCTGTGAAGTACACATTCAGGGCTTTCCGAAACTAGTTTTGATTTGTCTGTGCGATGCACGGAGGATAAACTACGTTTGTCTGAAAGTCCGTGTCCAAAGCGTGACCCGTGAGGTACAAACAGCTGTGAGATACAAACACACGGGGACTGCCAAAGATCGTCAGAGAGTGAGATCTCTCACTCCTCTGCGTTTACTTGTTCTCCCACAGTTGAAACTACAGCTGCGATTGCAATAACCGGCTGAAGAGTGCGCATTATTGATAAAGACGATAATAAATACAGTAAAATGACATTATGTGTATATGATGTATATAAATATATGTATTATATAAATAACTGATGGTTTTTTTGGCTCAGTTTCTTATGTTTTACGTTTTTTACAGCTGTGCTACAGAAGCAACCCCAGCATTATAGACAAACTGCTTCAGGAAGGGCATCAGGAGTACAGAGTTTTTTGCTTTTATAGTGGAATTTTGAAAAAAGTATTATAGTTAGAGATTCATTTTTTTCCCCCATTATCCCCATGACCCCAAATAACATTTCTGTGCAGTGTAAAAAGTTGTTTATAGCATTTCTTTGTGTTTTTTCAATACATTTTTGTAAAATTGATTTTCCGTTAGATTTTTTTCTTTGTCTTCATGATTCCATAATTTTTATATAATTCATATGACAGCTTTACAATATGATTATTCTAAAACCCCAGGTTGTACTGAAAAAAACAAAATATACTGCTTGACTCTGCATCAAAAGATGACTGTTTTATGAACAATTACACACAAAGAAAACCAGGCAAGGAAAGTTCCCCAAAATGACCCATGTCCATAGAGGGTTAAGTAGTGCATCTCGGTCTCTTGGTCTCTCTGTCTCTCGGTCTCATTCTCTCGGTCTCTTAGTCTCTCAGTCTCTCGGGTCTCTCAGTTTCTCGGTCTTTCAGTCCCTGTGCTCCTCAGAGTCCCAGCAGGAGGCTAGTCCCTGTGCTCCTCAGAGTCCCAGCAGGAGGCTAGTCCCTGTGCTCACAGATGTACATTGGTGTGAGGTCATCCTGGTTCTCGTCTGGACTTCTTTGGAGAGACTAGTGAGCAGCCGTTACATTAGCCCAGCCTCCTGTGCCAAAACAAAGGATAAGAATCTCCAGGTCTGGTTTAGACTTGGGTTTGATCCTGGCCCATGTTTGTAGACGGTTAAAAGCTGCAGATGGTTAAAGTTAAAGTTATCACCTCTGATTTTGGACCTGATTCGAGACTTTTGGAGAGACTGAAGGTGACGGATAGTTGTGACCTCGAAGGGAAACTTGTCTTAGGCTCACACAAACACACACACTTTAAACACAATCCAAAACGCCAGGAAAAATGCACACAAAAACAAAACTAAAAGACTAATAGCTGTGACTTAAAACAAGGATTTCCATCATGATTTCACAAACACATCTAAGGTACTTAACCCGTAGTTTGAACATGTTCCAGAATAAGAAAAGTAAAATGTATTGTTATTTTCTGTGAGAGACTAGTGAGAGACTAGAGAGAGACTAGTGAGAGAAAATAATCAAATGTGGATCTGAAAATATGGATCATATGGATCAGGTCCAAGACACAGAGACTAAAGGAAACTGGACTCATTCATAAAACTGTCTGTTCTAGAAACTTCTACTGGACTGAGGAGGGATTTGGATTATGAAAAACATCATATATCTTATGATTATTAAGATATAATGTTGGCCTTTACTCACTGTTTTAACTTTAGTGTGAACAAACCAAGCCGATCGAAGATGGCTTTCAAATGAAAGGTTTGTGCTCAGTAGTGTGCCACCACGAGCGCCGAAAGATTAGCCGAACTCGCCCATATTTGGGCATCGTCTGGTTCTCCCGGTTCTGCGCAGTGGACGAGCTCCCATGATGCTTTGTGCCAAATACGTGTGTGTGCCTCTCAAGCACGTGCACAGAGGGGCTCGGCCGCGCTCTGAACAATCAGAGCGGGAGTTAGAGCGGGAGCCAGACGAGCAGAGTCAATGCCATCGGCCCCTCCGACCACCACCAACCATTCACACACACACAGACTCATTCTAGGCAATGGGGGTAAAGTGTCTTGCCTAAGGACACAACGGCAGTTTGGCACTTTACAGCTGCAGCCGCCCCACTGTGGCTGGTGTTCCCAGAGGTTAAGTGTCTTGCCAAGGACAAAACGACGGCAGACAGTGGGAGTCGATGGTGAAAGTTGGGCTCGAACCCACGACCCTCTGGCTCAAAGGCCAATGCTCTACCAACTGACAGGTTCTCTGTCAGCTGAGGTCGAGCTGTTTTAGTTTACATTAAGTTCTATGGGGAAAATTTCTGGGTAGGCCATGTGAATTTAGTCTGGTTCAGTCTGCAGTACCGCGAGAATCCCCCGAGCACATGAGTTCTTCAGCTCCAAGCTAGTAATACCCTATCCAGTTATTATAATAGATCCAGTTATTATTATAGATCCATGGAACAAACAAAAGTTTATTGATAAAGTATATTCAAACAAAAGTAACACGGCCATAAAGAGCTGTAAAAACAAGGACAGAAATCACTTTGTAAATAAAAGGCAAAGACAGAGTTAGACGCCAAGTCAAACTAGTGAGTCACTGTCAATGTCAGTTTTATTTGTATAGCACAGTTACAACAAGAAATGCTTCGCACGCACACAAAGGAAACACATAGAAAACATTTTTAATGTAAATCAGTAGAACTTGGCTGTTGACTTTAGACAAGATAGGAACAGAGAGAGACGAGAGAGAGACGAGAGAGAGACGAGAGAGAGACGAGAGAGAGACCAGAGAGAGACCAGAGAGAGACCAGAGAGAGACCAGAGAGAGACCAGAGAGAGACCAGAGAGAGACCAGAGAGAGACCAGAGAGAGAGACCAGAGAGAGAGACCAGAGAGAGACCGACCAGAGAGAGAGACCAGAGAGAGAGACCAGAGAGAGACCAGAGAGAGACCAGAGTGAGAGAGAGTGAGAGACCAGAGAGAGAGACCCGAAAGAGTGACCTGAAAGAGACTAGAGAGGGACTATAGAGATCAGAGACATTGGAACTATATGAATACGCTTAAATAGATTTTTTTTTTTCTGCCTGAATCCTCGGCCCTGATCCTCTGTGTGTATTTGTCTTGTTGTCTTTAGATTCCATCTGGTCTTAACCTCAGTCTTGGCACTCTCTATTATGCCTTTATATTCTCTGCTTCTGAAATCTAACCCGACTAATTCTTTTGATTTCTTTTCTTGCTTTCTCAAGCTCTAAGGACAAACAGGTAATACAAGGAAGTATTCACACAAACTGTAAAACAACACTTTGTGCGCCGTGTGTGGTGTCGTAACCAGTTTGTGTTGTGTTGTAGATCTACCAGGAGGATATGCTCCGGTCGCTGCTTCACAACTCTCTCCATGTGTTCCGGGTGATCAGCGGCACATCCGCGGAGCTGGGATGAGGTTCTGGTCAGATTCAGTTAATTTGCCGTTTGCAGTAAAACCCCATTGGAATACTTGAGCAACGGAACTTCAGTGTGGACCAGACAAGTATAAACAAATAACTGTGAAGTCAAAACAAAAACAGTTGTAGTACAAGTGCAAGTGTGTCTTCTGCCAGAGGGAAGAAGCTGGAACTGGAATTTTCCAGGGGCCGGAAGATTCATGGATTATTCCAAGAGCTTGATTTAAGAGGTTCATAAAGAACCTGAAGAACAGACGGATCACAGTCCTCTTTGAGAGCTGAGCACCGTGGTTTCTCTCTGGTCTCTCTCTCTCCCTCTTTCCCTCTCTCTCTCTCAATCTCTCCTCTCTCTACTCTTTCTCTATTCTCTCTCTCTCTACTCTCTCTCTATGACTGTGAAGTTACCAAACCACATTCACAGAACCAACAAACCGTCGATGGAACAACAATAGAATAGAAAGTAAAATCTCTTAAGTTCCTTTAATTTCAGACCCAGGATAAAGAATGTGTCCAGACTCCGGCTCTGAGCACTTTCTGCCTTTGTTGACAATGAACTAAATTGGTTCACAATGGTAAATTCTTTAGGATCTATGCAACACAACTCAAACTAAGACTGTCATATTTTTGAATCCTTCTGTCAGTAAGGTCTGTTGTTCTGGCTGGCCGGGCAACTTGTAAACAAAATAAATAACAATGTAATTGTAGACAGTATTATGAGACTGTGTAGGACGGGGGTCTCCAACCTGTAGCTATCAGTAGCTCGCATCTGTACATGTTAGCAGCAGTATGTTTGCATCTGTACATGTTAGCAGCAGTATGTTTGCATCTGTACATGTTAGCAGCAGTATGTTTGCATCTGTACATGTTAGCAGCAGTATGTTTGCATCTGTACATGTTAGCAGCGGTATGTTTGCATCTGTACATGTAAGCAGCAGTATGTTTGCATCTGTACATGTAAGCAGCAGTATGTTTGCATCTGTACATGTAAGCAGCAGTATGTTTGCATCTGTACATGTTAGCAGCAGTATGTTTGCATCTGTACATGTAAGCAGCAGTATGTTTTTATCTGTACATGTAAGCAGCAGTATGTTTGCATCTGTACATGTTAGCAGCAGTATGTTTGCATCTGTACATGTTAGCAGCAGTATGTTTGCATCTGTACATGTTAGCAGCATTTTTTTAGCATCTACATGTTAGCAGCATGAGGCATTACACATCTATTTTAAAGGTGCAGTAAGTGATTTCGTTAGCTTAGCCGTAGCACCAACTGGAAACCACTCCCCCCTGCCCCCGCCTCTCCACCAAACCAAGCATCCAAAATTTTCTTTTCTTTGTCACAACAGGGAGAGTGGGTGGCAAACATGAAATTGGCATTTTCAAGAAACAGGAAGACGGTGAAGGTGGTAAACACATCCCATTGGTTCGTTGTGAATGAACGTATCCCATTGGTTTATTTTTATTGGTCCGCTCCAAAATATGTTTTAGTAATTTTTGGAGACTATAGGCATCTGGTCAATTCCATTACTATTTGAAAACACATAATAACTTTTAGGGTTTAGGGACGTTTTCCCACGTTAGGTTTTGTGATAGTTATTATATAGAAAAAGGGAGTAGCTCTCTGCCTCTTCTGTTGTATAATAGTAGCTCTCTGACTGAGACAGGTTGGAGGCCCCCTGGTGGAGGATAATGTGATATAAATGTAATTTGACAAAGAATCAGACACATTCTGTGACCTAAGAGTAAAGTTAGTGTCTATATTATTCTACTGCGTTATGTCCTTCTGACCTAACGCATTTCTTTTTGATCAGAAAATACAAAATAAGGTAAAAAAATGGCTTGAATCTAGTGTTTTTATATCTTAATCTGACACATTCTGACTGTGTTGAAACAAGATTCTCCAACAGGAAAAATCCATTCAGTCTTATCTCGATCTTTCCAACGAGGACATGTCTTGTATCTCTTTTAAAACAAGATACATCTGCTTTTTGTCTTGTTTACAAATTTAGTTTTAAAGCTCAGTCAGAACGAGCTCAGATTAAGATAAATTTTTTACCATATTTCAGCCATTATCTTGCTGTGTGGTTTCGTGGCTATTTTCTTGCTGCGTCCGAATCTCAGTGAGTTTTTTTCATCTAAATCTTCTCGGTTCTGAGTCGGGATCCGCCTTTGCATCTCCGTGTTTGGCAATATTTATGCTGGGGTTTCTTTATGAGTGAAGTGAGTGAAAGAAGACGTCCTGCAGTAAAGACGTCAGAACCTCGGGGCAATAATATTTACTTCTCGAGGTGTAGCGTTTCTCTCATCTGTGCCTTTCCAGAACCTCCCAAGTGCTACACTGAAACTCACTGATAGATTAAAATCCTGTGCGTCTGCTGTAAATTTGGATCCGTGTCTGTTTGTATCGTCCTGTCCTATTTAAATTGTATTTTGGACTCCATTATGTGCAGATATTTTGCAACAGAGAGATTCCCCTTTAAATTGTGTTTTATGCTAAGCTGCAGCTGCTCTTCAAAGTTCATTTTTAAAACTTGTTTTCAATAAAATATGGAAAAAAATGACTGGTTTGTACTGGTGTGTTTTACCGTGTCTATGGTATTATATTTATATGTTTGGGATGGTGTGTTTTAATGAGCTGCTGTAAACGCACCTGAATGGCTAATTTCTATCTGCAATCACGCCATCATAGTCTATTGTACATGTTATTAGTGATAGGAGAAACCGGAGCACCTGGAGGAAAACCTACTCTGACCGAGACACTGCACAATAAATATTTTGTTCAGACTGAAAGTTCCAGAGTCAGAGAGACAGGTTTTACACTTTTCAAAGAATCAATACATAAGAATGACCTAGTTACAGATTTAAATACAAGTTCTGATCCCTCTGTGGTCTATAGCTCTCTCTCTTTCTCTCTGACCTGTAGCTCTCTCCCTGTGGTCTCTCTCTCTAGTCTCTCTCCCTTTCTGGTCTCCCTCTGTTCTCTCTCTCTGGCCTCTTTTTCTGGTCTCTGTCCTCTCTCGGGTCTCTCTAGTCCAGGGATCTCCAACCAGTAGCTCACCAGGCCCTTTTAGGTAGCTCCCCAAAGGATTTGGAATTCAACACAAGATCTTGAATGATTCAGGGTTGAGTCATTAAATATCCATTATATTAAGTATAAATATAGGGTATTATGGTATTTTTTACATCTGTTTTCCATATGTCTTAATAATTACATAGATTTTTTTTATGACTGCAAAAAGGAGTAGCTCTCTGCCGCTTCTGTTGTATAAAAGTAGCTCCCCAATTGAAAAAGGTTCACTCTGCTCACTCTGGTCTCTCATGGGCCTCTCTGTCTGGTTTCTCAGATCTCTCTTGGGCCTCACTCTCCGTCCTCTCTCTGGTCTCCCTCTCTCTGTCCTCGCTCTATGGTCTCTCTCCCTCTGATTCTCGCTCTGGTTTCTCTCTCTGGTCTTTCTCTGGTCTCTCTCTGGTCTCTCTTTCTGATCCATGAGCCAGCACTGTTTATGGTTGTAAAAAATATGCAACCATTTCCAAACATTTGAAATCTGGCCAACAGTCGGTTCCCAACACTATCTACAACAGATAAATACAGATGATAAAACACTTCTTTATCATTTTCCTGTAGCTCTCACCGCCGCAGGCTTCTCATCAGTTTAATGATTGATTTCAGAAGACGGCAATTTCCTGCAATATTCTTTTGTGCATGTGAGACCAAAGAGGGACCAGAGAGAGAGAGAGCTAGAGACAGACCAGAAAGAGAGGCCAGAGATAGACCAGAAAGAGGCCAGAGAAAGACCAGAGAAAGAGGCCAGAGACAGACCAGAGAGAGAGGCTAGAGACAGACCAGGGAGAGAGACCAGAGACAGACCAGAGAGAGACCAGGGAGAGACACCAGAAAGACCTTTGGCCTCACACCAGGATCACACTTAGACCTGTGTCGATAAATAAGTGACATCTTCAGTCTCTGGTTACAGCCCTGATCCTCCTCCTGATCCCGCCTCCTGCTGATGCCTGACAGTCTTCCTGCTGGTGACTCACTTCTAACCCTTGTCTTCACGTTTTCATATTGTTCCCAGACTTTGACAGCTCTAACGAAACCCACTTTGAGGAAACATGTTTGGGAGATTTATATTCACCTGGAGTGCTGTGTTTTGGTGGACTTCCTCAGCTGCAGCAGGTAAACCATTTCTTCTGATCCTAGACCCTCATGTTGGAGACCGAAAAACACTGAGGGATTTGATCTTTACTCTTCACCATACGCTGTGATTATGTGTGATTTTAACACATTTCAGTTGCCCTGTGCTATACAAATAACCTATAACCATGCCATTGCCTTATGCTTTCCAGTTTTAGTAGAACATTGAACCAACATGGCAACGTAAAACAGGTTATGTGAAGACAACTCCCTATAGAAATGCTTTAAGGATATGTCATATTTAGTGCAATGCTATAGTTTAAATCTGTTTTATTATGCATTTATAATTCCCTATAAACACTATACAATCACTGTGTTTGCCTGAAATAAATAAATTCTACAATAAATTTTAACAAGCCCTGTTGTATTGAAAGCTTTGCCCCTTGCACCTGTTAATATTCAGAGTTTGCGATAATAAAAAAAAGAGAGTCCAGTCCAGGACTATGGTGGATGTTATAGATTCTTGCCGTGTGAAACAGCTCGGTCTATAATGCATTATTTATAGTGCTCTCATTACTAAAACCAATTTTCTGGTAATGAGTTTGTTTCCCTTTTCCCTCGACATTCAATTGAGAGTGGCTGCTTCCTGTTTCTGGACTTATTGATGTGTTTTATGTTACGCCCCGGACAATAAGAAGAAGAAGAATGAGACATATATCATAGAGAGACCAGATACTGTTTGTAATGATGGTTTTGGTGTTTGTAGTGGATGTACAGGCGCCCACAGACCTGGCACCCACAGACCTGGCAACCACAGATGTGCTGGCACCCACAGACCTGGCAGCCAAGTGGATCGATACCCTGACGGTGGAAGTGTCTTGGATCAGACCCAGAAATGTGCAACAAGACTGTATCCGGTTCGCGTTGGCGCAGGACGGAACCGAGGTGAGAGGCGGAAAATCACAAAAATACACTCAGCACTTTGAGGTTTTCTGGAAATGAAAGGTGGAATGTTAATGATAAAATGTGTACATGTATTTTTTTGTTTTGTACTGACAACTCATATTTAATTTTTTTATTTTTGGAATAACATTTGTATGATCTTGTTGATGTTTACACCGCAGCTGTGACATCAATAAGATCATTGCATCTGTTTAGTCCCAGAACAAATTATGATCTGAATGTTATGATCTATTACTCATTATCTTAAATAATAGATCTGTCTGATGTGAGTCTTTTTCCTTCTTTATTCTGCTGTATGAATAAATAACCTTCTCCTCCTTCTTCTTCTCCTTCTAGATCGCTCGGACCAGCTCCACTTTCTTCCGACAGAATCTTCTGACGGAGAGTTCCTCTGAGTGGATCTTCAGCGTTCGCACCGTTTCCAGTTGTCACCAGAGCTGGGAGAGCTCCACGGCCCGGATCACTGTAAAACCCCCCAAACCCAGAGGTAGGGGACTCAAACCCATGAAACAAATTTGTATCTGGGTTTTACACTGAGAAAGTGACATCTTGATCTGATTGAAATACTACAAATGACACAAATTATGCTCGGTGTTGTTTTTTTACTTGAATGTAGTTTGTGATGAAAGAATAATTTAGAATATTTAACTCATTCACTGCCAGCCATTTAAAAAGCAGCATCCCTCATACTGCCAGAGATTTTGGACATTTTTAGTGTTTTTCCGAACCGCATAGAAATGTGAGCCCTTGGTTTACACAAGTATGAAACATACCAAATGAAAGCTCTATCCCTCGGCTTTCATTTTTTTTTAAAAAAGTAAGTTTCTAACCTTTTTAGTTTTTAGCAATTTTTGTGAAACGCGCATTTTCAAGCAGAAAAGTGGGTTTTTTGTCTTTACTGATATTTTACAATGTATGACACTTTCTTACTATGAGACAAAACAGAAACAATACTTTGAATTGTATTTTTAATGTATAATTATTTTTAAACAAATTAAACGTGTACACACAATACACTCAAAGGATTGCCTTATGTACACATAAAATATTCAACTTGTATACAATAAAAACACTTTGTACACAAATATACAGTAAAAATAACACTTTCTGAACACTTTGTGAAACAATTTTACTTTAGTTTATAAAGAATAGTAATCAGGCGACCCCACACTCTGCTGAAGTGTGGGGTGGGATCTACTTCATCTGCACTCCCAATACATTTCCAGATTAGTTTTTTTTTTTTACAAACCCAGTGAGAAAAAAGGTTTTTAGCTGCAGACTGTCACTGTCCATGCATTTTCTCTGTTGAATGGGAGACGCTGTGTGTGTGCACTGAAATATTGTGCTGCATACAGCTTTGTCTGTTCGACAACAAGATCCAGGATCCAGCAGTTCATCAGTTATGAAGAGCTGCAGAAGTCAGCTGCTGATCTTCTGCAAATATAAAATCACCATACATTTTCACATTATAACAAGTGTTTTGGCTTCAGCAGCTATGACATTGAGATTAAAAAAAAAAAAACTCTTCAATACTCGCTAAAAACGCTACTTTATGTTTATTTTTACTATAGTATAAGCCAGTGATTGCTATAGTCACTCCCTCCAGAATCTCTCAATGTTTGAACGCAAAATCACGCAGACTCCGGGATCAGAGCAACAGGGAGAGAGTCAGTCTCTCTCCTTGTTCCAAAGCAGCAGCGGGCGCGCTCCTGACGCACCCTCCACAGAGACGCACCACTGCAGAATGCACATGGTGCGGTAAATCTAACACTTGCTCATCATGGATCACCTCCCCCTGTCCCTTCTATAACCCACACAGTAACATCATCCATAGCTCCCTGGCAGCTAATGCTACATGCCAGACTCACGCCTCCAAACTCAACAGGGAAACTTTTGGAAAAATGTCCCGCAATCAAGCATTTTACCCCGCAATAATCATTCATCAATCAACAATTGCGCGCAAAATCATGGAGGGGCTGATAGTACTGAAGAAGATGACATGTCTGGGATCGCGTCTTTAATTCAGACAGAAGACATGTTTTATTGTCGATGGTAGAGACAGCACGAACAACAGATACAACAGAATGCAAGTGTATTATACAGAGCGGAGGCATGGAGACCTCCAATCAGCAGCTGCCACGGTGCCATGTAGCTTGGCCTTCAGATAGACACAACAAGGGAAAAGTACAGGCTTCTGCACATTGATAGAATGATGAGTTTAACTTTCACAAAAGTTGCTTAAAAGTGTTATGAAATCTCACAGTACATTAGACAAAGAGGAGAAATAAACTCGTAAATGCAACATGTTGAAGTGAAAAGCAACTTACCACATTACGACGGGGGGAGGAGCCGCTGCTGCCGCTGGACGAGGAGGGAGGGAGGGGGAAGGCTCCGAGGATCCTGGACTCTCTGAGGTTAACTAAAACCTGAAGAACTAGCATCGTGGCATCTAGCTGCTTCATATTTATCCGTTTGATGACTGAACAGGCTCTCAAACAGCGTTAGCTGCGTGAGCTTCTCAGGTCCGCGGTCCTTTGTGTAAGCATGGCTGCTCCTCTGGCTGTTACCCGCTCACAGCACCACAAAATACCACAATATTTTTTCTTGTTTCCAGACAACACATTTTTTATTAAGATACAATAAGTTTGTGATGCCATATTTCAAGAATATGTCTCAAAAGTGTTTAATAAATAAGTAAATCATTCTTGAAACCTATGTTTGAAACTAGAATCAAATCATTTGGGGCTAGTATTATTTTCTTATTTTCAACAATCTAATCAAGTGAAGAAGATGACAAAGTCTGGGATCGCGTCTTAAATTCAGACAGAAGACATGTTTTATTGTCGATGGTAGAGACAGCACAAACAACAGATACAACAGAATGCAAGTGTATTATACAGAGCGGAGGCATGGAGACCTCCAATCAGCAGCTGCCACGGTGTGCTTGTAGCTTGGCCTTCAGATAGACAAAACAAGGGAAAAGTACTGGCTTCTGCACATTGATAGAATGATGAGCTTAACTTTAACAAAAGTTGCTTAAAAGTGTTATGAAATCTCACACAAGTCATATTTTCTTTTTCTATTGACAGATATTTTTTGTTATTTTAAGCAGTATTTTACTTTTATATCTTTATATTCATATATATATATATAGTAACAAACTCTTCTTCTTCTGCAGGTGAAGTGTCCGACTTCAGGTGTTATTTGTCCAACTCTGACATGAACTGCTCCTGGATCCCAAACCTGGATTTTAACCATTTCTCTCTGTTGTACCGGTGAGTGGCTTTAAGTCTCAGTAAACCGCTGTTGTGGAACTTTACTTTAAGGTTTTTGGTTTTAGGAGGATTTCCCAAATTTTATGAAAGAACCGCCCTCTCCACTGTTTAAACAAAACTCTCCGATCTTATTGGACGAGCACGTATCACCAGTTAAAATAATGTTTAAGAATATGGCTCCAAGCAAATAAACAAACAAATTTGTAAATTGATTAGAATAGTTTTAAACTATTAGTGAATCAAGACTTGTACATTTTTGTGCATTTATATGACCCAAGAAGTAAGCTCCTGTATTTCCATAGTGATCTTTAGAACGAATTTGTGAATGAATATTTATGTTTGCGAATTTTTCTAAAATAATTGCAAAGAGAGATTTCCCGATCTGCGTTTGTCCTGCAGCTAATCAAGCTAACTATGCTACATTAATCCAAAAATGCTATTATATATTTGTCATTTATTTCCTGAACCTTTATAAAATGACAGTTTCCATTTGAGCACCACTGTTTGTGGTTTGCCCAGACAACATAAGCTAATGGTTTTTATGGTGTTATTTGCTATAGAATAATTTATTAATACTCTTTCCTTTGATCTGTTTCTGTTTCCTCCGCATACAATGTACAGACTGTGATCTCCTGCCAAACCAGCAACACAGCTATAAAAGATCCTTCGATAGTGTCCCCAACCCAAAAAGAACCACCATTCTCACAATGTTAATGTATGTATTGAGCATTTTTTGCAAAAGATGTGGTTTTTAATTCATGGGGCCAATAAGGCGGCCTTTGAATGGTTTCATTGTATGCCCTTTTATTGCTTTGTAATGGCAATTAAAAGATAATAAATATCTGTATTCATGTCTCAAGGCTTATTATTGTTGTACGAAAGAGATATTCCATCCAATGAGTTATTTCTCACAAAAACTCTTAACAACTGTTAGTAACTGACTAATGATCCAGGCACTGCAGTATTAACCATTAATGGTTCATTGAGTGAACTCTGGTGCGCGCTATGGCTAGCCGCTGCTCACAGAACAAACGCCGCTGTCGGGACGCTGACAGTGTCCCTGGTCAGCGTTGCGATCGGCTCAATCCCGCGGCAGCCAAGAACAGCTCCACAACCGTCAGCTTCGGTGCTCCTCAACGAGCGCTCCCTCAACACCAAGGGCCACTGGTCGGGATGTCCTCGTCGAACCGTAAGCTGGACTTCTTGTGTTTGACCGAAACCTGGGCAGCAGCCAAATGACTTTGCCGCGTTAACACTCCACTCCACCGGGGTTTGTATACATCTGCCAGTCCCCGCAGCTGTGCCGCCGGGGCGGAGACCTCGCGATGCCTTCACCGCGAGACTTGGAAAGTCACACCTGTGCCTGCTGCCCTGTCTACTCCTCCATCGAGTACTCTGCCAACACGGCTGCTGAGACCTTCTCCTACTGTTGTTGCACCATCACCGCCCGCCAAAACTTAAAAAGGACTTTAGATGACTTTTCTCACCTTCTAACACACATCTCATCTAACTCTCATAACGCAGTCAACTTGGGACTTCAACATCACATGACAATAATACAACCCTCTCACCAAAGACATCTCCTCCTGTTTAATATTTTTGGTTTACAACAACACATTCATTTCCCTCACCCACACTCAAAGGACACATTTTGACTTAATCTGCTGCTCATGGTCTCCACTCCACTAACTGTAAACCTCACACACTCCCTAACAGACCATAATCTCATCACCTTCATATCAACCTCACCCCTCGACCAAGACCATCCTTCCCCGAACCATTTTCTTTCCGTAAAATTCAGGACAAAAACACTGCCACCTCGCCACAGATATCAATAACCTCCCCACTACTGATCCCAATGACTCCCCCGATGACACTGGTCTCCCACTACAACACTTCTCTCCCATAACCACCTGAACAATCATGCCCTCTCAAAACCCGACCCGACTCTTTCACGCTCTCCAGCACCCAGGTTCACCCCTGCCCTCCGTCCGCTCAAATCCCAAGGACGTCAACTATGAACGGCTCTTCAATAAAACATGACTCACCATTCACAAACAAATGTAACAATAAACCACATCCATGCAATACAAGGACCATCCTCACTGCAGCCAAATCCACCTACTACTCGGTTTAATCCCCACTCCAATCATCACAACTCCAAAACTCTCATCTCTCTTCTCACCAATATAACCAAACCCCCTGACTCCCACCCTCACCATATGCAATCCACTGACTTCTGTAACTCACTCATGGCCTTCTTTTACCTCCAACAACTCATCCATCCACCAACACCCTGACCCCACATGTAGCAGCAAGTCTCTGGAGTGGTTACCCCCCAGCCCCTCTCATATCCCTCATAGCCACATTCTCCAGCTTCATCATGCCCTCCGTCCAAGCCATCTCACCGACTTTATCATTAAATCCAAACCTTCTACCCTCAGCTCGACCTCCCCTACCGTATCTGGTCAAATCCGGCACCCCACACCTGCCCCCCTCAACACAAAAACAATCACTCATCTCTCACTCTTGTACTGTCCCCTCTCCCAATCAAAACCGCCTCAGTCACACCCATTCTCAAAAAAACCTGGCCTGGATCCAACCACTTCAACAACCTCCGTCCATCACAAACCTCCCTTCATCTCCAAAATACTTAAAAATCTGTCGCTGCTCAACTCCACAACCACCACACCACCAACAACATCTACGAACAAATTCATCTAGTTTTCCGTCCCCTCCACAGCACCGAAACAGCTCTTTCTAAAAAACACTAACGATCTCCTCCAATAGCCAGACTCCGTTTACTCTCCATCCTCATCCTTCTAGACCTCACTGCAGCTTTTGACACCATTTCTCACTCCACCCACCTGAACCAGACTCTCCTCATCGGCAACACCCACACCCCCCTCGCCTTGGTTCACCTCCTAAACTTTCTGTCGCCACATTCATCAACTCAAATCCCACAAATCCCGTCACTTTTCCTGTCCTCTGCTAGGGTCCCCCCAGGGCTCTGTCCTGGGGCCCCTCCTCTTCATCAACACTATATCTCCCACACGGTCACATCCTCCGCCGTCACACATTCACTTCCCACTGCTACGCGATGACACTCAGACTCATGACTTGAGTGAGGGTGAGTACAGAAGTGAAAATGGATGGAATTGAAAGCTGTAGATTTGGAGAGAGTGTGAGGGTGCCTAAGATACGGACATTCAGATTTTGAAGCTATAGAGTTTGAGAAATTTGGAAGAAAACCATGAAGAATTTCTTAGTAAGACAGAGGGATAGGGAGTTGATGGAGGAGAAGGTAGATGGTTTAGTCGGAGAGGTATAGCAGGGAGTCATACCGCGTAGCATGGAAGTGATTGTTGTGACGTCGAGAAGTAGACCTAGTTGGTAGAATATAGATGATTGAAAGAGGAGGGGCCCCAGGACGAGCCCATGGGGACACCAATCAGAGACAGGAAAAGTGCGGATTAGGGGATTGAGAATGAAGAACTGTGAAGCGACCCAAAAGATAGGAGGTGAAAACCAGCGAGGGGTGTGGTTGATGCCGATGAGGAGAGTCTGTTCAGATAGGGAGAGTGTGAGAAATGTGTCAAAAGCTTGCAGTGAGGTCCAGAATGAGATATGGAGAGTAAACCGGAGTCAGAAGCTATGAGGTAGGATCGTTATTGATTTTAGAAGAGCTGTTTCGGTTCTGTGGAGGGACGGAAACCAGACTGAAATTTGTACGTATAGAGTGATGTGGTGAGGTGGTTGTGGAGTTGAGCAGCGGCGACATAATTTTCAAGTATTTTGTAGATGAATGGAAGGTTTTAGATGGACGGATGTGTTGAAGTTGGTTGCTCCAGGCCAGAGGTTTTTTGAGAATGGGTGAGACTGTGAGGCGGTTCTTTGAATGAGAGAGGGACAGTACCCAAACCAAAGTGAGAGATGATTAATGATAAAAGTGATGAGGGTGGCAAAGCTGAGGGGAGGGCAGATTAGACCAAACGGTAGGGAGATGGTCGAGATGAGAGGTAGAAGGATTGGATTTAATGAAAATGTCGGAGATGGCTTGGAACGGAGGGCAAGAAGAAAGCGGAGAAAGTGGCTAAGAGGATGAGTAGGGGCTGGGGGGAGTCACTCCAGAGACTGCAGCTCCATGGTGGGTCAGGTGTAGTGAATGTCATGAGATCTGGAGTTAAAGAAGGACATGATGAGTTACAGAAGTCAGTGTGTATTAGCATATGGTGAGTGAGGGAGTATCATGGGATTGGTTATAATGGTGAGCAAGAGAGAAGAGAAGTTTTGGAGTTTATTGATGATTGGAGTGGATTAACCGGAGTAGTAGTGGGAATGTGGCAGCAGAGAGATGTCCTTCGTATAGCATGAGTGGTTATATGTAACATTTGTTTGTGAATGGTGAGAATCCATTTTATTGAAAGAACCGAGTCAAGTAGACGTCCTGGGATTGCGAGCTGACGGATGGGCAGTGTATGAACCATGGGATGGCTGAGAGCGTGAAAGGAGACGGTCGTGTTTTGAGAGAGCCGATTGTTTTCAGAGGTATATGGAGAGGAAGTTTTGTAGTGGGAGACCAGTCATCGGGGGAGACATTGGGATCAGTAGGGTGATTGTAATTGATATCTGAGGCTAAGGGTGGCATTGTTTAAAGTCCTGAATTTTAACGGAAAGAAATTGGTTCGGGAAGGATGGTCTTGGAGATGGTGAGGAAGATATTGAAGTTGAGGAGCTTAATGGTCTGGTGGTATGGTAGTGTGTGAGGTTTACAGACCAGTGAGTGAGACCTCGAGTCAGCATATTAGTCCAAAATGTGACTTTAGTGTGGTGGGGAAATGAATGTGTTGTGTAAACCAAAACTATCTAAACAGGAGGAGAAGTCCATTGGATGAGATGGTTTCTATAGTGTTCCACTGTGAATGTTAGACAGTCCCCAAGTAAGACTGCGTTATGAGAATAGATTAGAATGTGTTATAGAATGTGTGTGAAAAGTCATCTAAA